ATATATATATATATATAGTATTATATTATTTATATAATATAATATATAATATAATATATAATATAAAATATAATATATAATATATAATATATATATAGATAGTATAATAGTATATATATATATAATATAATATATATATATATATACTATAGTATAGTATAATATAATATAATATATAATATATATATATATATAGTATAATATTATATATATATATACTATAGTATAGTATAGTAATTATAGTATAGTATAATATAATATAATATAATATAATATATGATAATATATAATAATATATAATAATATATAATAATATATAATAATATATAATAATATATAATAATATATAATAATATATATATATATATATATATATAGGCTATTATAGGCTCGGGGGTTCCATGTTGATGCTCTCCGCTTATCTGTGAAATGGGATCCACGTCCTTCGTCAAACGAGATTCAGTGGCGAAAATTGTGCGAGGAGAATTGGACGCGGTTTTCTATGGTTTCAATCTTAGCGGAACGCAAGGCCTGCTCGAGACTTACTGACTCATTCCTGCCACTGAACTTGTTCTCGGCAGGCTAACCCAGTGATGAATGCCATTCGCCGACGCAGTGTCGGGCACCTTGTTGCTTTCCTCTCCGGCGAGAGTCAAGCGAGCAGCGAGCCTTGTTTCCTGGCTTAGGTAGCACTTGGTGCGGGCCCAAACCGGTAGTCCTTGGCATGAGCCCAGCTTGTAAGAGAACTTTACAATGCCATTTTGATCGAGGCTCAGACCCTGCAATGCGAGAGATGGTGCACTTCGTCGGCAGCGGCGCCCTTGGTCTCACATGCGTGCGCGGAAGGATGTGACAGGATTCGCAATCTCAAGGCCACGAGCATGACAGCCGCCTTCAAGAGGCGACCTGTCCCTTGCGTTATCGGTTCGACGTTATTAAACGGCCATTGTGTGGTCGCACAACAGATGAGGGTGACAAGGGTCCTGTATCCCCCAGCCTGATATCCGTATGTTCGCAGTGCCAGACCTGCCATTCATGCAACCGTCACCTGAGTAGCTTGGCTAACACTCAAGGCAAAAGTTGCAGACTAGCGACACTTTCAATGACACCGATCCTTGGACGAGATTTACCAGAGGTACGTTGAATCATCCACTGCCGCCTGACTCGCAACACAGGAAGCAGTTGGCAATAGATTTTTGCAAGGAAGGGGCAGATGTTATGGATGCTTCCAATCCCTCGCCGAGCTGCCGCACTCACTGGCTGGAGAAGCAAAGCCAGGAAATGCGCCAATCGCTCTGTTTCAACGCCAATCTTGAGCCCCAACCAATTGCAATGTTTATAAATCCGGCTGGAATCAGTTCAGCCCGAACATTGTTACAGCCGCTGCGTGTCTCAATGTGTATTTCCCATCTGTGTGACTCTCTGACTGCGGATTTGGCAGTCCTCAGTCTTCACTGGTGCAGGCAGCAGACATTCGGCGTGGGGTTTTGGACGAGCTTCCGCAGGCATGCTCGAGTCTGTGTGGCGGCTCTTGTGTTGTTGCAGTGGCTGCCTCTGCCTCTTGGGCCACTGAGTTATGTCCTGTCCTCGTTGATCAAAGGGCGTCGATAGTCCGATAGGCCTATGCTGGACTCGGTTTCACATCACTTGCCGAAGGAGTTCCGCGACGAGGTGGAGATCCTACGTCAAGCCGAAGCCTACGAGGAGACTGTCAGTCAGCCGTATCCAGGAATAACCAGGAATGCAGGCTTACGGCCTTGTCGAAAAGCAGGGATCTTTTTGAATCTTTTTGGTCGGCCACCTGTACAGGACAACCGTCCTTTACCCGTCACGAGCACGGGCTCCTTGGCACGAGTTTGGGTCTGGCGGCGGCCCGTGGGTGGCTTTTTTTTGGTTTCTTGCCGAGATAAATCAAGTCTTGCTCCTGGAGGACTAGTTGATGGGCCCTCGGTGGATGCACGTCTGGCATGGCGTCAGGAAATGGACCGTCAGATGAGGTGCCCCATGACGCCTGAGTCAGAGAGAGCAACCAAACACACCTATGCTACACGGCGAACTACAACTTGATAAGTGAAGGCGGCTGATGCAAGACACGAACTTTGCCCTGGACGACCGGCTAAAGGAGGTGAGGCCCTCGTGGTGTGAAGACGGCTGCCAGCACAAGCTTTCAAGCAGTACAGTCTCACGGGTCCGTGAAATGTTGACTCCTTCGAGCCCGATCTGATCCTGTGTGTGCGATGCCTGTCATGAACAGCAGCTGTCGAGTCGATGCCAGGGCAAGAATTGCTGAAGGTCTTGTCTCAGCACGACACTCCCTTATGCTTGGCAAGCGTTGCTCTGCCCACATGCTGGGCCCACAATTCAAACACTATCAAAATGAGACGAGAATATCCGGGGTTTATGAGCGCCCCCTTCATCACGCACCATACACTCTCGTCGGTTTCTTCAATGATGCCCAACCTCACAGGCACTCGGACAAGTTGTGGTCTTGCACCATGATGCAGATCGATATTGTCGAAAGCATGCTCGTAGCCTCCTCTAGCTGTAGAGTGTGTGCATGGTCATGTATGGTCCAGGTCAGCAAACACGAGCTCCGAGTGGGGCATGCAGACCGGATGTATGACTGGTGAGCTGCAGATGCACCTCTAGGACTCTAGGAGGAATTGCAAGATCTGCCTTTCACAGGTATGGCAAACACGGGATGAAGCAAGCGCGGAAGGAGCGCGAGGCCTTGTCTCAGAAGCTCACGAGTTCCTGGAATCTCACAATCCCGAGCGGGCAGGCTCCGGCCCACATCCGCTTCAATCAGGAGGACCCAGTCATGCCAAGACCTCGACCGCGGCTGCCGCTCTCGGAATCTTTTCTGGGAGATGCCTTCTGAAGGCCCGGCTCGCTGCGGCGCCAGCCGCAGCATGCGCCGGCGTTGGAAGTGCCAGCCGTCCCAGGGATCCTCCGCGACAGTTCTGTGGGCCGCGAGCCGAGGAGAGCCGAGGATGTCACTTGCGGGTCCCGGTCCCTCGCTTGAGGTGCTGCGAGCGCAGGCTCCGAGGCGGAGGCGGCCGTGGTGGCGCCGTCGCGACCACCCAGCGTGCCGAGGCCACAAGAGCGCATGCAGGCGTTCTGCCACACAGGCAATACGCCCATAAGAGTGTAAGAGTCTGCATTGCTGAGAGCCTCTGCGCTGTCGTTTGCATGTCTTTCTGCTTCGCATTGCTTCGTGTCAGGACGCTTCTTACCGATGCGGGCAGGCCATCGAGTCGAGCGGTGGATTGTCACTAGCGACATCTAGCGACGGCCGTTGTCAAAGTCGTGGTCCGGGAGGTCTTCCATGGCAAAGGCTTGGCTCCAAGAGGGGACCGAGGGGAAAGAAAGGGTTGAAGCCTTCGAAGCCGAGCCGACGACAAGTTGTGCTAACAGGTCTCGCCGAAAGCGAAGAAAGCACCGGACAAGCCGCCCAAGCCGGCGACCCCAAGCTTCCGTCGCAACAACACTGGCCTTTGGCGGATTTAAGACCGGAAGTTGCAAAAGATCAACTTCCGAACTGGCTCGCGGCTGCATGGTCGCGTTGCGGCCGGGTCTGTGCAGTTGGCCGGTTTCAGTCGAACAGCAGCTTACAGCGGTTTACCAGCAACACGCCTTCCTTTTCGGTTTCACTGGCAATATATGCCCCGAGATCTTGAGTGCCGGTCTAGCCCCAGGAAAAAGTGCGGCCGCCTCCGTTACGCGTCAGAAGGAGACAGACTTCGCTCTGGCAGGTATCGAGTGCTGGGATACTTCCGGCAAGAGACCGCGGGAGGCCGGCGCCTTGAAGACTGCATCTGTACCACCATTACAACGTAACATTACAGCAGAGTCGCTCCTGGGCCGAGAGGGCGCTCAGGCTCAACCGAATACAGCCTGGTCCAAGTCCAGATTGACCATGGACGCCAGCACCAGGCGCACTTTGCATGATGTTGAGCTGCTTGACAAAGGGTTCGATCGATGCAACCCCACATTCATGCGCAGATCCGTCTCCACATGGACGGAAGCTTAGGTGGTGGCTGCAACTTTAGAGCTGCATCCCATGCGCATTGCTATGCGCACCTGTGGTGCTCAGGCCTCGATGGGGCATCCGATCGTGCCGGACACTTGTGGAGCTTACAAGCTGGTTCAGTGCGTGCACGCTAAAGTGAGTTCATGTCACGGCGATCTAACAACCTTGACCTCGGGCTTTGGACTGAATGAAACGGGCGGATCTTGAGATCGTTCTTGTCAATTGTGCTTCGGTGGTCTCAGGTGCGATGTGAAGTACAGCTCGTCGCATTTTAAGGAGGACTCTCAAGGCAAGCGGTTGACGAGTGCAATGGTAGGCTCATGTCGCTGGCGCGACGTGCGTCTTGATGCACACATTCGGAGAGCAACAGCAAGTGAGCGTCCCGGCTGCAGTCACTGGTGGCCGGCTCTTTCTCCATGCCGCTTTCCTTCGAGGGACCTTGCCCCCGGATGGTGACGTGTCAGGGATACAGATGGGGTCGTTCCAACTTGCCTGGCAGAGAGTGTTATGTGTAGCTATGCTCGAATGCGTCTCGCTGACTCTTCGCTTGTTTCGAGTCCTTCTTGATCTGCTCTTGCGGCTTGCTTTGAGGTATTGCTCCACTGAGCATCGCCTGCCGCCTGCCACGGCAGCTTCGCGAGTGCTTGACCTCCATGCAACGCCTCAGGAAGGGTCACTGGCAGGGACGGTTGTGTGAGACCCGGAGCCACTTGGGTGTTAGGAGCCTTGAAGAGACGCTTTCCCTCGAGGAGCCGTGAAGTTTCTTGCAGTCTCGTCATTGCTTTGTGATGTGCCTTTCAAGTGGCACAGCCCCGTTTGAAACCGCTGCAGGCCACCGAGCTTTGCGACTGTTTGCTGATGCCAGACCCAGAGGTGGGCAACGCTGCTGAAGCAACCGCTCGAAGTTTCTTGGGATGGCTCTTTTCGCTTCACGCTCCCGCGCTTGTCCTGCACTTTGGGATGTCATGGGTCTATGACAGTGTTTTTTTTTGGCGAGTGTGCAAGCGTTTCGTCTTCGTGGCGCTTGGAGTGCTGCAACCTGACCAGGTGGTCCAGAAATGCGATCCTGGACTGGAGGCAGCCATTGCAGTGAAGAGCCGTGCAAGACGGACAGCTCCATGCATGTTGTTTGCTTCGCCAGAAGCTGAAACCCTGCAGCTTCCCTCGTGGGTTCAGACAGGGCTTTGCCTGCCCTGGTGGCCTCGCGAGGCGAAGACCTCGAGCAAAGCCAGCAGCGAGAAGGAGACCGAAGACCCGGAGACTGAAGACCTGGAGACGGAGGAGACAGAGGAAACCGAGGCGCGTGGAAACCGGAACATCCGGAACGTGTCAAGTGCTTAGGAAAACACGGGCACTTCTTTTGCAGCCTTCGGATTTTGAAGGGATCCCGATGATTTGTTGCGCAGACTCGTCAGGCAGAGGAGGCAGAGGAGGTGGCAGGTGTCCTCTCTAAGAGGCCGGGCCGAAGACAGCTCTTTCCGCACCGCTTGTTTGCACACTTAACTTGCAAAGGATAATCCGAGAATGCTAGTGGAATTGACATGGTGGTGGCTTGGCAGCTTTGCTTGCATGACTCTTCAGGAACTTGGAGACGGAAATGCTGGCGCAAGGGCCTATACGATCTGGATTCGAGGGATTTCTGGGGTGAGGAGATCCAGTGCTCACGAGCCAGAGCAGTGAGGCAGATGAACGAGCTGCTGAACACAGAGGCTGAGCCAGGCTGGTGCCAATGGGTGGCTGTTTTCCCCTTCCCCTTCTTTGCTCCAGTGCTTGGAGGTGATCGGTCCGAGACGGACAGTGTCCGAAGCCCAGAACATGCGAGCCTCCTCTCGCTGCTGCCTCAATTCAGACACACTTCTATGTGTTGAGTGAGGAGTCCGAAGCAAACAACGAGCTCCCGGAGGAAGTAGATGAGGTGTCACGGCTTGCTGGAGGCTTCCTGCCAGCAGCGTTGTAGTGATAACTTCTGTCCAGGAAACAAACCTCGACGGGTCCGACACTCAGTCGGAGGAGGTGCCAGGTCCCGCGTCTGGACGTTTCCACCCATCTCTCAACTCAGGGTTGACAGCGTGGCTGAAACTGACAGTGGCTTTGGTTGGGGCTCAGTTGCGGAAAAAGCATCGATGCCTCTAGCTGCGAAGTCTCAGCCATGAAGAGCCAAGGACCCATGTCGCTCCACAGCCAGTTCGTCAGGTGCAAGGCCTGGCACGGAACGGGGCGTCACGCGTGATGCAATCTTGCATGGAATCACGCCCCAGGTCTGTGGTGAGCAGGAGAAGGCAGCGGCCACTGGATTGTTGGAGCCACTGTTGGTCGACCTGACCTCTACTTCTCCGGCCCTTCCTCAGGTGGAGAAGGTCGAGTTTCCGGCGCTTCGCCTCCGTTTGAGCTGTCGGTCTGTGGCGACGTGGAACGCGCAAGTCTTGAAGTGTTGGCCCCAGAGGTTGCCTTAACCTCTCCTGTAGCTGCCCAATGCCGATTCTGCAAATCGTGTTTTCCCAACCAAGCACCATGCGAATGGTGCATCGACAGCCTTTTCCGTGAGTCCGCCGGAGTTACTAGCGTTGAAGTTTGCACAGAGCATTCTGACCTAAAATTGGGTGCTATCTGTCCACAACTGGAGTCCACGATGGTTGCCGTTGTGCAGCCAGGCCAGCAAATTCAATACGGCAACTGCCTCAACTAATCCATACCGTCTGCTGGCGGGTACAGAAGTGGTAAACGATTCAAAGGGCATTGCACCGCGCAATGCCTGTAGAATGGTTTTAACAACACAGTATAAGACTGCGATTCTTGAGGAAATTTCTTCCGGCGAGTCCAAGTGTATATAAGAGCATAAGGATGCCCGGTGCTCGTTTGAGTGGGCTTTTTGAGAGTGGCCTTGGCTTTTTTCGGAAAGTTCATGGCAGTGTGAGAACGACGCTGAAACTAAATTCGCCAGCATCGACTGGGGGCAGTTGCGTTTGGAGACGACAGCCGTTCACAACAGTTTGAAACAGCATAGCCACGGAATCAGTTGCTGAAGCTTCAGCTGCCCCTCCCCCATCCTTACACGTCCACCCATATCTCCGCGAGGGGGCGGCCAGGGGATGGGCAGAGGTTTTCACAGATTCACCCGGCGAGGAATTGCAGGATGGCTATTTCGTGAAATCATCTTGTGCACTGCGCATTTGATGAGGCTCTTTCATTCGGAGGAGGACCGTGAACAAGGCCAGCTTCTGACGTGTCACAATTGGAAGATGTTGGGCTTTCTGCGAGAGCCTCCGGATGGGTCAGCAGGCCAGCACCTACAGCCGCGGAATGCGGAGAGGTGGTCAAACCAGGACTGGACCAACGAGTGGTCCAACCGGTGGTCCTAGACACAGAGACAGAGAGTATATCAGAGTGCCCGGCAAGTAGCAACTATTTGCAGCCGAAGTGCCAATAGAGACTCAGGTGGCAGCAACCCTGTCCTGAAGCTTGGGAGTGGGAGTGGAGCTCGAAAAGCCAACCAGCTCCGGTGACTTGGCCGCACCAGAGACAGAAGGAGCCCGGATGTGACAGGGAGCTGCAAGCTGAGGCGAAGAGCGGAGCTGGGGGAGGCCCGGTGGCGAAAGGCGCGAAGAGCCGCGCAGCGCGAAGAGTCGCGGGATTCGCAGCGAGCGTGGACCGAGAGGTCGGAGCTTGGGCCCGGGCCCGCCGGGGCCTCCTCAACGCGACTCGCGCCGCCGAGCCCATGCCTTTGAGTCGAAATCTGTCGGTCCTCGTTTGCTGTTATCGAGCAAACGGTGCATGCTGTACAACAACTCCCCGCTCAGGCAGAGAAACAGAATGTGGAGGTGCAGATGAGGCATCTGTTATGCCTGCTGTCCGAGCGATCTGCAGACATCCTTGAAGCAACCCAGCAGCTGCAGAGGGTACGAACCATAATTGTGAGTTGCTTTGGAGGAAGGAGCTGTATGCGCACCTCAAGGACGTCTACTACGAACCTTTTGAGGGTTTTTGACGTTTGGCATAGCTTTTCCGACCGACAGCCGTCTTGCTTTTGGGAGGTGATGGCTTACCTGATCAGGGAGTCTGGTGTAATCAATGTCTCGCAGGAGCATGGTATGCGACATGTTCCTGGCCCGTCCGCCGGATGCCGAGGGTGCGTTGGTGTATTGCCTTGGTCTTTATGGCTTAGTTATGTTCTCGTCCGGGACGCACCCGATTTCATAAGCTTGAACTTCTCTTGTCTTGCCAATCATTTGCCTATTCGGCCGTTGCACGCAGTCCTCGTGCTCCTGAGCTGGTGGACGGACCAGTCCTGTACAGAGAAGATCAGAGCAGCACCTGGCAGTGTGACTGATGAGCTTGTGCCAGCCGTCAGGAAGGCAGGATATCTATAGTCTCTGGTACTGTATGTCTGGTAGGTTACGCTCCTGGCGCTCCTCCTGCATCATGACGGGCGTGCTGCTTTGAGGTTGCGGGGCTTTTCGCATACCGCTACAACCAATTCCTTCGAAAGGAGCGCCTAAGACGGTGGTAGGCTAGAAACGCACAGGACTAGTGTGGCCCGGTCTCCGAAAAAGTTGGCTGGCAGGATGGGCGCCGTAATGATGGGAGCGTCCGTGCTTGGATCAGCAGCCAGCCGGGCGTGGAGGTTGAGGCCATGGGCGGCAACCAGTGGCCTTGGACCTCAGATTCAGATGCACTGTGTTGCAAGCTCGTGCACGCTTGCGATACTCCTCCTCAGCACTGCGACTGACACTGACCGACGTATGAGTCCGCGAGAAGGGGCAAACGAGAGCTGCAGTGAACAACCATCAGACTTGACCTCTACTTTCTCCAACAACGCGGGACGGGTACTAAATGAAACGATGGTTCGCTTATTGCACATCCCAAGTCCAGGAAGTCGCACCGTCGGAGGTTTCCACCGCCACTTTTGGAATTTACAGATTCGAGACACAACAAATTTCGGTTTGGCCGAACCCGAAGTCTTCCAACTTTGCCCTTGGATGGGACCATACCCCCCCACCCCCCACGGCATATTTAGCGCAGCGTTGCCAAGCCCCCCGCCCCTCCCCCGCACAATGGTATGGTACCCTGCTGCCTTGTAGTTGGGTGGGTGCATTGGGATTTGGGTTGATCTCCCCCTCCCATGGTGTGAAACCCTCTCCTCTGGTTGGTGGGTGCGTGGGTTCCGGAGTGGATGCCGTTACATAGGTTAGCCAGGTTCGCTCCTCGTTCGGATTGCCCTCTCGACATGTTCAACATTCACGACAGTCGAAGCACTACCGCCACCCATACCCATCCCTGTAGCTGTTAGCACTGCTGAGACGTCGCAATAGCATCAAGATCCGGAGACAGCAGCATCAGTGATGGATAACTGCATCCCGAGCGTGTGTCTATGGAATCTCAAGCCCAGGCCCAAAAGCGTCCAGTGTCACGCAGATAGCGCGCTCGCCTAAAGACCACACCGTGGGGCGGGGGATGGGGGCGGCCTGCCACGGCGGCACCACATCTCAAGTATATCTCATATACTTCATATACTTGCATCGCTGCATGTTCTGTTGTGATGCAAAGTGCAAGAAAAAACTCGTACCTGTGCTTTGGCTTTGTACATTCGTTGTTTCGAGCATCTTTGTCGATTAAGATGCTATGTGAAGCTGCCTTGTGCATTGCCACATGTTTTTGTTTGCACGTGTCGTCTTACCCCTGCACCCTACATCTCACCCTGAGACCTGTTTATTTCATCGGCTGAACCTTGTGCGCCACCTGTGAAAAATAGCGAAATGATCTACATCTTGATGCTTTCGACGAACTCCTCAGCACAGCCACAGTGCTGTAGTTGTAAAAGCCTGCGTCTGACCTGCCCCGGAAGCCGGATTCACGTGACGTTGGCCACTCACAAGATCGTATGCCACACAGGTTAGTTTCACGAAGCAAGATCAGAATCAGAGTTCCCATTCGATCATTAAAAGCTCGCCATGTTGTCGGCTCCACATCCACATCATCCAGATGCAGTATTTTCGGGCTGTGATCCTACATCGACATCGTTCCGTCAAGCGTTAAGTTCCGGAAAACCTACGGGACAGAAGTTGAAGTCACAGGACATGCTCCGAAAGGAAGAAGGCCTGAGGAGGGCGCGGCCACGGGTTCGGGAAGGACGACAAAATCTTTACCGACATGAACATGACAGAAATCCGGCGGCTTCATGGCTCTCTTGGTATTGCCGAGTCTCGGTGTGGTTCATGCAAACACTTCCCACTTCTGAGGTGCGTGCATTTGGACCCGAGCGTGATTTAGCGGCCTCAGGCCGTGCTGACACGCCAGATCGAAGACCTGCAGAGGCATTCGTCAACTCTGCTTCCTGGCCTGCTTTGTCAGGCATTCAATGCTCTATGCAGACCGCATTGGGAGGGTGTCTTGGAAAGGAGTGTGAGGGCCCCGGAGTTATGCAGGCGCATCTGGCAAGAGACGATCGGTTGTGATTGCTTCCTAACACTACTACGGCCAAAGACACAGCCTGAGATGGGCATCCCTCCCGAGGCCTTGTTTCAGCTCAGTGGTTCATCGAGCCCAGCTAGGTTTGTATCAGATTTATAGAATTCATCAGGCTGCGAGCACAAGGCTCCAAATTCGAAAGTTGGATTAGTGAGTTCCAAAACGGCTTGCCAATCAGCCGACGGGTCGGGACACTGTCGCCGCTGTGCGACAGCGTTGCTGAATTACTTTCCGTTGTACGTTGCCAATGGTAGGTGGCAGGAACACTGGAGGAGACAAGCAATCTGCAGTGACCCAAGGCCGAGACATCTTGGCGACTTTGAATTCTTTAACTTATTATGTTGATGATGGAAATTAGTGCGGTCCGGGCTGTGCGCAGCATTTGCCCATGGCCATGCCGAAAGAGGCTAGTGGAGAGGTTAGCGGCCACAATCCGCGACTGTGTGAAGTCGATTCTGGATCTAGATTCCCAAGCTTGTCAGTTTTGAGTGAACAGCCCCGGATTGAGGACCACTTAGTGCGAAGTGGATGCTTGGTTCGAAACAAGCAAGCTGTGTTGGCGCGGATAAGCTTGTTAAACTTGTCTAGCCACCAGTTGAGGAGCCATGTCATGTGGCGCGGCCGTATGGCTCGCGTAGCGGAGCTAGCGGATGCGCATGTTGCAGACGACTGGCTTTCTGCAGCCTTTCACGACATATCGCAGAGTGGCAAGCGCAACTAAAGTCACCTACAGCGACTACTCAAAAGACCATTGGGTCTCTGCCCGGATGCTCTTGAGCTAAGTCTCGAAGACGATGTTGCCTCGCGGATCCTGTGCAGATATGAGGATATGAACATATGTAAACGCGATTCACAGACAGAGGGAGGGATGCACACCCACACGCTTTCAGTCACCCCCTGCACTTCTCGGTAGCGAAATCGATCGAACCAGGTCACAAATTCATATCATGTCACGGCTAGTCTACAGCTCACAATCGAGTTTTGTGGGCCGGCTAGTTTAGTTTCGCCCGTGTCACAGCCAGGCTGGGATGCAGCACTAGTTAGTTGCGAGCATGATGCCACTTTCTATTCGCTGCCGTCTGTCAGCTTTCAGGCTGCTTATGGTAACCGTCGAACTCCTCAGGCCTAGGGCTTTCATTCCTTACAGGGTCTTACAGGCGAACGCGATCGTCATGATCGAGTGTGTCTGTGTGTGTAGGCGATCGTCGTGATCGAGTGTGTGCGTATGCAGGCGAGCGCTGAAGTTGGAGCTGCCTGATGTGCCTTTCGATGACGAGGTCCTGGAGCCTGAGTCTCTGAGTGCCGGTGCATGGTAGTATTCTGCAGAGAGTGATGGATGACAGTCGTAAATAAACCACTCAGTTGGTTGAGCTATGGTGAGCTTGATTTCTGTGAGCATCTGGCCATCTGACTTATTTTCTATTGCCGGTCCGCCGTTTCCAGTCTCTCGGCCGGGTTTGCAGAATTCTTTGTGTGCTCCGTCGCTTGTTTGCCGCACTTGCCCAGGCATTTGGCCCCGGTGGACACCGAGGCCGTTGATGCTTTGCAGGCCACCGCTGCTGGAGGTGACTGTTGTCAACACTTTATATATTTCTTCAGATGAACTGCGAGTTCCGTGCGTCAGCTTCCACGAGGCATGGCTGCCATTCCTCATATCCCATGGCGTGGCCTTCGACGAGGAAAGTTCGGAAGCCTGGATGTGATTCTGAGCTCGACCTTGCACATTTCAGAAACTTGACTCACTCTTTTGAGGTGCCGGTGAGGTCTTCCGAAGACTGGCCGAGAGGCGCAACGCATCGCACTGCAAACATGGCTAAGAGCGGGTGATGTCTGCGCATTTCCCCAAAGGCTCCGATCCCTGGCGAGGCTGGTCTCCGGAGAGGATGCTCAAACAGTCGTTCTGCTCTTGTTGCGTAGGCCAGAAGACGTCGATGCCTCAGAGGGGCGGCAGATATTGTGCTGCTCGATGCTGGGGTCTCCAGGCACGGCCGAGCAGGCAGCCAGAGATACCAGAGGAGACGGAGAAGGCATTCTCCTTGCGCCTGTTTGATTCGGGACCCAAAGAAGGACTCGTATCTGAGAATCCGTGCGACTTTCTCAAGGAGTCTGTGCAGATTATTGGCCTGGAGGACAACACTCAATCTGTCCGATTCGAGTATGTTCTGGGGAACCTCCTAGACCTATTGATAGCGAGGAATGGCTTGAGACTCTGTCGCTGTCAGCGTGACCTGCCATGCTGCCCGTTTTGGATGCTCCGAGCTGCGCTGCATTGGAAGCGTTGCGGAACTGTCTCGCCCAGCAACAGAAGCATGCGGATGATCAGCATGCCGGCCCTAGGTACTTACCCAAGACTCGTGCCTGGCATCTGTCTGAGAAACCGGGTGTCGACAGAGGATGTGCTTTCGTGCAAGTTAAGAGATGGCTGCAAGCGCCCTTACAGCCATAAGGTGCTCCAAAGTGGGTGCATCGACTCTGCAGCAGGCCAGCTTTGCAGAGTACGTCAGAGTCAAAGTCACGGTGCCATTGGCACAAGCATGATGGGCTCGCTCAAGCAGTGCCCCTTCAAGCAAGCACATGCATATTTCCTTTCCACGCCGTAGCATTGGGTAACATGACTTGGTCAGTGTAGCTGCTGATGCAGGTCATGGAGAAATGGGAGGCCTCGGAGCCATTTTCTGCAGCCTCTCGCTCGAAAGACGATGGCTGCCTTGCGAGACCTGGCAGGATTTGGCTGCAGAGCTTCAGCTGAGGGCCGGTATGCAAGTTGAAGTGATCGCGTCGTCCCGTATCGCTGTATTCCATAGATCGGGACAGGAACTTCCGAAGCGACGGATGGGTAAGGCCGGGAAAGGACTTGCACGTAGCCGGACAAGCGGGTCTTGGCTGTTTGCAAGCACTGCTT